AGCTCCGGTGACCTAGTTTCACATGTGATTTGAACTCATCCGAGCAATTACCTAGACAAGCATCCTGACCAAGTTTGATGATAATTGAGTCGAAAATGTGACCACTAGAATGTTAACAAGGTTTTTCCATATTTGGGCGGTGTGACCTAGTTTTTAATCCAAGATGACCCATGTTCGAACTCATCCAAGCTATCACCTAGACAAACATCCTGACCAAGTTTGATGATAATTGAGGCAAAATTGTGACCTCTAGAGTGTTAACAAGGTTTTTCTATTTTTAGCTCCTGTGACCTAGTTTTTCATCCGAGATGACCAATGTTCGAACTCATCCAAGCTATCACCTAGACAAACATCCTGACCAAGTTTGATGATAATTGAGGCAAAATTGTGACCTCTAGAGTGTTAACAAGGTTTTTCTATTTTTAGCTCCGGTGACCTACTTTTTCATCCGAGATGACCCATGTTCGAACTCATCCATGCTATCAACTAGATAAGCATCCTGACCAAGTTTGATGATGATTGACGCAAAAATGTGACCGCTGGAGTGTTAACAAGGTTTTTCTATTTTTAGCTCCGGTGACCTAGTTTTTCATCTGAGATGACCCATGTTCGAACTCATCCAAGCTATCACCTAGACAAGCATCCTGACCAAGTTTGATGATGATTGAGGCAAAAATGTGACCGCTAGAGTGTTAACAAGGTTTTTCTATTTTTAGCTCCGGTGACCTACTTTTTCATCCGAGATGACCCATGTTCGAACTCATCCGAGCTATCACCTAGACAAGCATCCTGACCAAGTTTGATGATGATTGAGGCAAAAATGTGACCGCTAGAGTGTTAACAAGGTTTTTCTATTTTTAGCTCCGGTGACCTAGTTTTTCATCCAGGATTACCCATGTTCGAACTCATCCAAGCTATCACCTAGACAAGCATCTTGACCAAGTTTGATGATGATTGATGCAAAAATGTGACCGCTAGAGTGTTAACAAGGTTTTTCTATTTTTAGCTCCGGTGACCTACTTTTTCATCCGAGATGACCCATGTTCGAACTCATCCGAGCTATCACCTAGACAAGCATCCTGACCAAGTTTGATGATGATTGAGACAAAAATGTGACCGCTAGAGTGTTAACATGGTTTTTCTATTTTTAGCTCTTGTGACCTAGTTTTTCATCCAAAATGACCCATGTTTAAACTCATTCGAGCTATCAACTAGATAAGCATCCTGACCAAGTTTGATGATGATTGAGGCAAAAATGTGACCGCTGGAGTGTTAACAAGGTTTTTCTATTTTTAGCTCCGGTGACCTAGTTTTTCATCCGAGATGACCCATGTCCGAACTCATCTGAGCTATCACCTAGACAAGCATCCTGACCAAGTTCGATGATGATTGATGCAAAAATGTAACCGCTAGAGTGTTAACCTTTTCCCTGATACAGCCCCCTTAATTTACTGCTTTACACCCCATAATACAGTAGCCAGATAGATAATCAATAATCAATATCCTACTGATAAGGAGTCACACACTATCTCCATATAGGGTATGATAAAATATAGGTAAAATTGGTCAAATTAGATACCTATATACTTTAACTGGAAAATAAAGTATTAAGTTGTGTTTTGACAATTTTTGTATCAATAAAAAGTTTGTAGAGAATTGAAATACCTTTTCAATGGTATAAATATCATATTTGTTGGGTTTATACAAATATGTCTACATGAGTTATAATGTAATAAACTATATACTTGATGGTGTTTTTTTCTCCATTTTTCAGAAAAATTAGGCTACTTATGTGTTTTAACTAATGTAAAGTGGTTTAATTACAAGTTTGACAATATATATGTCAATGTAAGATTTGTAGAGATTTGAATTATCTTTCCAGTGGTATAAATTTTATATTTGTGGGCTTTATAACAGTATAATTACAGTAGTTATAAACAATAAAATGATGTATAATTTTTCTCTCTCTTTTACAGGGATTAGGGAAATATGGCTAATTTATTATTAATTTTTTATGTCTCATAACTTGGCAAAAAAGGCTTATAGGATACCCATTTTGACTTTTTTTGTGTAAGTGTACAGGTTTTTAAGATTTTTTTTTCCAAAAATGATGAGTTTTTGTTTGTTTTGGTTTATGCAGCATTAATTTTTAGTGAAATAAATAACAACAAATTCCTTTTTTTATACCAGTAAAAAGAAATCTCAGTTTTTATTTTATTTATTTTATTAGTTTTTTTTTATAATTTATTTCATAATACAGTCAAACTTGTATTAAGCGACCGCGCAAGGGAAACACCCAAAATGGTCGCTTAATGAAACGGTCTCTTAAGACAAAGCATGACATAAAAGTCAAAATTTACAAATGACATCTTTCTTATGCGGTGGGAATGTTTAACAAATTCATTTTTATATAAATGTTGAATAATTAGTACGCTCGATAATCTGTAAAAAATAAACAGTTTTGATCCATTACGTACATGTTTGACATTTTTACAGATTTTTTTTAACTTCTCCGTTGCTTTTCCTTGTCTCCAACACGAAAACCCTATTAGTGAGGATGTTTTTTCTGTCGTGCATTTTTTATTCGATATAAACAAAATACATCTAATTTAATTGCTGATCAAGTTCAAGGTCAATTCAATTCAGTCTAATTGTCAACAAGCGAAGCGTATACACCACATCAGTAGGGGCGGAGCGTTGCATTGTTTAATTGATATTATTGGATAATACACGTCACGCGTATACTGCTTACGCTAAAACGGTTTGGAAAAATAGAGATTTTCACACATTTATTTGTTGTGTTTTGATTGTTGACACTTGTGACATTACGAGGCGGCGTTCTCTAAAAACACAATTACTTGACAGGTAAAAGTGGTCGTTTAATGAAAAAATTGCTCTCAATTAGGTGACTAATTAGCGGTCGCTGGTCGCGTTGAGCAAAAGTCGCTTAATACATTAAAAATATAGAGAGAAAATGATCGGGGGGAATTTAAAGTGGTCGTTTAAGACAAAAGTCGCTTAAAACACGTGGTCGCATGGGCAAGTTAGATTGTAGTAACTGTCATTTCTGTACTACATGTATATAACTGTTGAATGAAATATTTCAGAATTTCTGCTGTCATGGTCATATATTTTCTTCATGAATTATGAATTTAATTAAATTTTATCATTTATAGATCTAATTTAGATCAAATGATGATAAGGGAAAGACATCCTGGAGTTCCACGGCCTTTTTCGACATTTTCATGTTGCCGACATCAAAGATGATATATGGGATATGATTTTATCATATCGTGTAATACACGACCCCATGCTGTGTCTGTTATGAAAACAATAGCGCACATGAAAGAATCTAAACTTTAAAATATTTCTTTGTCGGTCATTTTCTTAAAAAAATCGCCGCTGCTACCGGAAATATTTTATTGCAGGGGCCAGAGAGATACCCCTAGTCAGGGTGTTAATTAATCCATGTATATACACATGTCAGCTCTCATAAACCAAAACAAACATCAAATTCATCATACCATGCCTGGCACGTGAACGACCCGTGATCATATAAATACTATTTATTCATTAGTTGCTATTTTTAGACACTTTTGTTCCTGTCTTACGATACGTTCTATATTTATTTCATTGACCCGCGCACTCATTAACTGCATGACGTAAGGAAAACCCCTCACCTGGTTGGTCGCTAATTATACAAAAACTTTAAATAGTAACACCATAATTTTATGCACAGAATCCCCTCATGAAATGTTGATCTTTACGATAACACAATTTACAGGTCTGATTTTCGGGAAAATTGTTGATTTTTGGACAGGTAAATATTGAAGTCGGCGAAAGTCGCTTCCATTGAGATCATGCATGTCGGCATTTTTCGCTTACATGCAGTAATCGATAAAGCCGTCGATTCTCCCTTCTATCAGGGAATGGTAAAAGACGGCGCTCGCTTCTATAAGGGAAAAGGTTAACAAGGTTTTTCTATTTTTAGCTCCTGTGACCTAGTTTTTCATCCAAGTTGACCCATGTTCGAACTCATCCGAGCTATCACCTAGACAAACATCCTGACCAAGTTTGATGATGATTAAGGCAAAAATGTGACCTCTAGCGTGTTAACAAGGTTTTTCTATTTTTAGCTCTTGTGACCTAGTTTTTCATCCGAGATGACCCATGTTCGAACTCATCCGAGCTATCAACTAGATAAGCATCCTGACCAAGTTTGATGATGATTGAGGCAAAAATGCGACCGCTAGAGTGTTAACAACAAAATGTGAACGGACAACGGACAATCATCGATCCTAAAAGCTCACCCTGAGCATGCTCAGGTGAGCTAAAAATTTATTTACATTTTCTTCAAATGGATAGACAATGTTTTCTTATTTTTCAAGAGCTGTATCATATCTCTCCGTCATAAAACATCTGAATTTATTAAAATATCCATTTGTAGACATTTAGAAACTAGGAAACAAGTTCTTTTTGAAGAATTTGTATTTTTGTTTTGAGATAATTTCGATAGTGCTGTTTGTTCTGGTTTTGGTTTCAAAAACATAAATAGCCACATTTTATATAGTAAAGCGAGGTCACACATATGCTGTTTTATTTTGGTTAGATTAGATAACAGGTCTGATGCCTTAAATGTCTTATATACTATGTTTATGCTCAAATTTGATGTTTTATTGTTGGTCATTTGCTTATTCAAAGTTTATATATCGTTTAATCAGGATATAATTTGTTCAAGGCATTACCAGCAACAGTCACTGTCTATACATGTTTCCAGAGCTATAATTTGAACAACTTTGGTAGCCCTTCACCCACACATGCACATGCTAAAACGCTATATTCCACTGCATATGCTGCAGTGGCATAACAAGAGCCTGGCGGGGGCAACGCTTGACTTTTTTCCTTTTTCTATGGCAACGGCAGCACCAACATGACTATAACAATACCTACTTTTTTTTCAAAAAAAAAAGTAGAGCTAAAAAGTCACTCCTATTACAAACCATATTGTCAGGGTTGATGTCTGTTTGTCCTTGTCTCATTGGACAATCACCGACTGGAGCAGTATTGGAATCAACATGCATGGGGCATTCACTTGGTGCAGCTGAAAAATTCACAGCCATTTTCTGCATTTTCTCTTCACTTAAACCCTTTCTGTGCACCTATGGGAAAGAAAAGCAAAACACTTATGAATGAATTACTAAAATTAGCTTGTTCTGTACAACAAAAATTGCTTCATATAATCTCTAAGCATTTAATACCAATTCCCTATTTGTGTGTTTTCATTAGTTGAAAAACAAAGTTAAACTAGAAGGGTTTTTTGTCACAAAAACATATGTCTCCCAAAACTGTGTAAGGTCACTCATGTGAAGTTTCATTGAAATCCAACCAGAAGCTTGACCTGTGAAAGCCGACAACATTTTTCTATTTATACCTCTAACGGCCATTTGTGCAGCGAAACGGAATGTGGCGGTGATGTGCACAACTAGGGATGGTACTGATCACTCCTGTAAAGTTTGGTTGAAATCCAACCAGTAGCTTGACCTGTGAAGGCCGGACAAGAATTTTCTATTTTTAGTTCTGATGGCCATTTTGTGTAGCGTAGTGGAATGTGCCGGTATTGTGCACAACTAGGGATGGTACTGATCACTCCTGTAAATTTTGGTTGAAATCCCACCAGTAGTTTCATCTGTGAAGGCCGCACAAGATTTTTCTATTTATAGCTCTGGCCGCCATTTTGTGCAGCGAAGCAGAACATGCCAGTGATGTGCACATTTAGGGATGGTACTGATCACTCCTGTAAAGTTAAGTTGAAATCCTACCAGTTGTTTGACCTGTGAAGGCTGGACAAGATTTTTCTATTTTTAGCTCTGGCGGCCATTTTGTGCAGCGAAGCGGAACGTGCCGGTGATGTGCACAACTAGGGATGGTACTGATCACTCCTGTAAAGTTTGGTTGAAATCCCACCAGAAGTTTGACTTGTGAAGGGTGTACAAGCTTAATGCTGACGGATGGACAACAGACGGACAACCTGAAGTGCCACTTAAAAGGGGCCATTTCTTTTGTTATTTTCTTTTGTTTAATAGAGGGCCATGGCCCGTTATTCTATTGTTACTGAATAAAATCTATTGTTCTCTTTTGTTCTCTTCACAGTTAAGATGGCCCCCTACTTCTCTTAAATAGCCTGGACAGACAGACAGACAGACAGCGATAGCAAAAACAATATGTCTCCCAAAAATTTTGGGAGACATAATTATCATAGAAATTTACTTTTATTAAAGGTATTTTTTAAGTATTATTCAACATTTGGTGGCCTTAGATCATCTGTTTAGGACAATATCATTATACTTAATACGTATATGAATAAAATAATATTAAAAAAATAACAAACACCATATTTTCAATATTTTCGGTAATACTAACAATTCTTGCAGCCGAATATTTTAATCAACAATAATAAACTAATCAACAAATGAAATAACGTCTGAAAAAAATGTGGGAATATTAGAGGATATTTGTTTAGTTCAGTGTAAGATCGGAATATATTTCACTGAGTGAGCACCAAAAGGTATATTTCACGAGTGGCGCAGCCACGAGTGAAATATGAACTTTTGGTGTTCACAAGGTGAAATATATTTCGATCTTACACTAAACTAAACAAATTTTCTTTTTATTACATGCAAAGAAACATTTTAAAAAGACATTGAACCTAATACTGAATGAAAAGCGCGCCAAATAATAATACAACGTGACGTCATTTACAACGTCATTAAGTTGGTACCCAGTACTGTGTACGCTGGTATTTCACTGAAACAACGTAAGGCCCGGCTTAAATTCAAAACAGTGAAATTACCAGTTTTATATCACTGATATATTTCTATAAACTACCGAAAAGCATGTAATAATGAATGGTAACGTTTTCCGCTGCAAAACACAACAAGAGCCACAGCTGGGAGGGGACAACGCTTGACTTTTTACTTTTTCTAAAAGCAAACAAAGAAATGTTTGAGCAAATCTTAACGTTTCCTTTTTATAAATTTAATCAGTCTGTCTTGTCACATTAGTTTTGTACAAGTATGAATCCTTTCCATAATTATATATATCCGCATGTGTATTACAGAAGAAAAACAAGAGCCGGTTGAACCGGGTGATGCTCCCCGAATAGGTTTTGGACACAGGAAGGTATACCTCTTGTTGTGTCAGAGTTATGTCACAGACAAAGTTCAAAGTGTAAAAACAACCCAAATATTGTGCACGACACATTGTCTCAATATGGTGATCATTTTTGTGAAATAGTTGTAAAATCCGATTTCAAATAACAAAGTTATGCGCCTGACATTATTTTGCTGCAAGGTCATGCTGTGACCTTGACCTTCAAGGTAGTGACCCAAATGTTGCATGCGACACGTCGATTCAATATGGTGATCATCTCTGTGAAATAGTTGTTAAATCCGACTTCCAGTAACAAAGTTATGGGCCGGACACGATTTTGCTGCAAGGTCATACCGTGACCTTGACCTTCAAGGTAGCGACCCAAATGTTGCGCGCGACACAATGTCTCATTGTGGTGATCATTTCTGTGAAATAGTTGTAAAATCCGACTTCAAATAATGAAGTTATGTGCCGGACACAATTTTGCTGCAAGGTCATGCTGTGACCTTGACCTTCAAGGTAGCGAGCCAAATTTTGCGCATGACACGCCATTTTAATATGGTGATCATTTCTGTGAAATAGTTTAAAAATCTGACTTCAACTAGAACTGCCACTATCATGGCGTGAATACCCCCGCATACCACTTTGTCAGAATCAACAGTGGCCATTTAGAGCTCAAGGACAACCTCCCTGCCAAATCTGAGGTTACTATATTATAAGCCAGTGCATTGCTAAGTTATGTATTCTACATGCTTCAAATGTGAAAATGTCAAAATCAATACATTGCGGACAGGACATTCTTTAGCAATTGAGAAGAAAAGCTTTTTTTGTCAAGGTCCCTGTGACCTTGACCTTTGACCCAGTGACCTCAAAATCAATAGGGGTCACCTTATAGTCATGATCAACATCCATGCCAAATATGAAGACTGTGGGTCAAAGGAATCTTAAGTTATTGGGCAGACAACCTTTTTGAAGTCAAGGCCCCTGTGACCTTGACCTTTGACCTAGTGACCTCAAAATCAATAGGGGTCATCTACTAATCATGACTAACCTCCATGCAAAATATGAAGACTGTGGGTCAAAGGAATCTTAAGTTATTGGGCGGACAAGCTTTTTGAAGTCAAGGCCCCTGTGACCTTGACCTTTGACCTAGTGACCTCAAAATCAATAGGGGTCATCTACTAATCATGACTAACCTCCATGCCAAATATGAAGACTGTGGGTCAAAGGAATCTTAAGTTATTGGGCGGACAAGCTTTTTGAAGTCAAGGCCCCTGTGACCTTGACCTTTGACCTGGTGACCTCAAAATCAATAGGGGTCATCTACTTATCATGACTAACCTCCATGCCATATATGACGACTGTAGGTCAAAGGAATCTTAAGTTATTGGGCGGACAAGCTTTTTGAAGTCAAGGCCCCTGTGACCTTGACCTTTGACCTAGTGACCTCAAAATCAATAGGGGTCATCTACTAATCATGACTAACCTCCATGCCAAATATGAAGACTGTAGGTCAAAGGAATCTGAAGTTATTGGGCGGACAAGCTTTTTGAAGTCAAGGCCCCTGTGACCTTGACCTTTGACCTAGTGACCTCAAAATCAATAGGGGTCATCTACTAATCATGACTAACCTCCATGCCAAATATGAAGACTAAGGGTCAAAGGAATCTTAAGTTATTGGGCTGACAAGAAAAAACCGACGGCCGGACGGACGGCCGGACGGACGGCCGGACGGACAATCTGATTCCAGTATACCCCCCTTACAACTTTGTTGTGCGGGGGTATAAATAAGGAAGTTATGGGCCGGACATGATTTTGCTGCAAGGTCATGCTGTGACCTTGACCTTCAAGGTCGCGACTTAAATGTTGTGCATGACACGTCATCTTAATATGATGACCATTTCTGTGAAATACTTTTTAAATCTAACTTCAAATAGCGAAGTTATGGGCCGGACACGATTTTGCTGCAAGGTCATGCTGTGACCTTGACCTTCAAGGAAGCGACCCACATGTTGCGCGCAACACATCGTCTCAATATGGTGATCATTTCTGTGGAATATTTTTTAAATCCTACTTCAAATAACAAAGTTATGGACCGGACATGGTTTTGCTGCAAGGTCATGCTGTGACCTTGACCTTCAAGGTAGCGACCCAAATGTTGCGTGCAACACGTCGTCTCAATATGGTGATCTGATTTCTGTGAAATATTTTTAAAATCCAACTTCAAATAACAAAGTTATGGACCGGACACGATTTTGCTGCAAGGTCATGCTGTGACCTTGACCTTCAAGGTAGCGACCCAAATGTTGCGTGCAACACGTCGATTCAATATGGTGATCATTTCTGTGAAATATTTTTAAAATCCAACTTCAAATAACAAAGTTATGGACCGGACACGATTTTGCTGCAAGGTCATGCTGTGACCTTGACCTTCAAGGTAGCGACCCAAATGGTGCGCGCGACACGTCGTCTCAATATGGTGATCATTTCTGTGAAATATTTTTAAAATCCGACTTCAAATAATGAAGTTATGGACCGGACACGATTTTGCTGCAAGGTCATGCTGTGACCTTGACCTTTAAGGTAGCGACCCAAATGTTGTGCGCGACACGTCGTCTCAATATGGTGATCATTTCTGTGAAATAATTTTAAAATCCGACTTCAAATAACAAAGTTATGGGCCGGACACGAATTCGGGACGTACGTACGGACGGACTGACGGACGGACAACCCGACGACTATATTCTCCCCAGAAATTTTTCGGGGAGCATAAAAAGAGAAAAAGATATATAAGGGGCAGATAACTCAAAAACGAGAACTGTGACCCCAATTTTTTTTTTCGCTGAAAATGTTTCTGTTATCATATTCTAACAACATGCCAAGTTTGAAGAAATTCTATAGAATAGTTTTAATTTTGCCGATATGTCTATATGAAAACTCCCAAAAACATCCTCAATAGGAAAAATTAATAGGGATGTCTGCATTGTGCAATAATTACATGCCCCAAAGGGATGTAAGGCTGTTTTTGTAACACAGGTAAGATATCCTCACGAAAATTTAATGATGTATCAACTGGGAAGGAAGTTTATTTTCACAAACAATCAAACTACCCATCTTCATGACATATAATACCGATCGTCATCGATATCACCAAAATCAAGCTGTTATAATACTTGTCCGAAAACTGGTCTTTTCCGGAAACTAGTTCCTGACCAGTACTGCAAATAATTTTTTTTTTTTTCATTAATTCTTTTTCTTTTTTTTTTTTATAACTATTTTCACCAAACGAAAGGAAGACAAAAAGATTTTAGCAAGTTTAAGACCTTAAAACCATCCTGGATATGAAGTGAACAAGTAATTATCATGGTATTGCAAGCAATCCATAAATACCCTACTGGTTGGAACCCCAGCAACATTCTGGAGCCATTGAATGATTGATTGATTGATTGAATGAATGAATGAATGAACTAGAAGGGTTTTTGTCATAAAAACATAAATTGATAATGTCTCCTAAAACTACCGTAAAATTCCTAATAGCCCCCCCCCCCCCCAAGGCCTTTTGATAAGGAAAACAATCTACTCATCAGTGCTGAATTAAATACATAATATTATTCAAATCATTCAGAATCCATTTTATTTTATAGTAACCACAAATATGTATAATATGAACTTTAAAACCTTAACACTTTTTAATGTTATTACCAACACTTGCTAACACTAAATGTATTTACAGTGATTTTTTGATTTAGGAAAAATGTGTTGTAATAAATAGCCCCCCTTTTGGAAAATGTTTAGCCCTAGGGGGCGTTTAATAGGTATGGTCACTCATTTGAAGTTTCATTGAAATCCTACCAGCAGCTTGACCTGTGAAAGCCGGACAAAATTTTTCAATTTATAGCTCTGACGGCCATTTGAATGTGCTAGTACTTTGCACAAGAAGGGATGCTACTGATCGCTCCTGTAAAGTTTGGTTGAAATCCCTACAGTTGCCCGAATAGGTTAACCTTAAATGGCCTTATTTTCAAAGTGATAAAAAGGAAAATAACTAGGAAAAATGGATGGCACAGTTATATAACTTTGCAATATCATGTACTTTGTATTAATAAGTAAGTGTGGTAATTATGAAGCTATTAGTATAGATAAAACTTAAGATATATCCAACTTGCTGTTTTAGGTTAACCAATTACTCATTTTCTAAGTGCTGAAAAGGGCAATAACTTGGTAAAAATGAAAGCAATAGTTATGTAACTTGCTCAGATCATGGACATTGTGTTGATAAGTAAATGTGTGAAGTATGAAGCCATTGGTATAGGTAGTACTTAAGAACAAGAGGGCCATGATGGCCCTAGATCGCTCACCAGACCCATCAAACTCATCCGAACAATTACCTATACAACCATTCTCACCAAGTTTCATGACAGGTGAGTCAAAAATGTGACCACTAGAGTGTTAACAAGGATTATCCATATTTGAGCAGAGTGACCTAGTTTTAAACCCCAGGTGACCCATATTCGAACTTGACCTAGAAATCATCAAAAAAAAAATTCAGACCAATTTCCAGGATACTTGGATCAAAACAGTAGCCACTTAAGAGTGTTAATAAGATTTTTCTAATTTTAGCTCCTGTGACCTACTTTTTCATCCAAGATGACCCATGTTCAAACTCATCCCAGCAATTATCTAGACAAGCATCCTGATCAAATTTGATGATAATTGAGTAAACAAGAGTGCCATGATGGCTCTAAACTTTCTCACCTGTATAAAGGCACCTCAGGGCCAAGGCCAATTTTAAACCAGGGGATTTTTTTTTAACAAACTTAGTAGACACCCATTAGAAGATGTTTCATAATAAATATCTAAGCTCTAGCTCTTTTGGGATTTTATAAAAAAATTTATAAGTTTATACTATATATATGTAGGGAAAAACAATGACCCCCCCCCCCCCCTCGGAGCGGCTAATTTTGATCCCAGGGCTTTTATTTGAACAAACTTGGTAGACACTCACTAGAAGATATTTCATGCTTAGTATCTAACCTTTAGCTCTTTGGGTTTTTTATAAGAAGATTTTTTAAGTTTAAATTACTATACACATACAAGGAAAATCAATGACCCCCGGGGCGGCGCCAATTTTTACCCAAGGGCTTTTATTTGAACAAATTTGGTAGACACCCATTAGAAGATGTTTCATGATAAATATCTAAGCTCTAACTATTTGGGGTTTTTAAAGGAGAAGATTTTTTAAGATTTTACTATATACATAAAGGGGAAAACAAGACACCCTGGGTCGGGGTCAATTTTTACCCAAGGGCTTTTATTTGAACAAACTTGGTAGACACCCACAAAAAGATGTTTCATGCTTCTAGCTATTTTTGTTTTTTTTAAAGAGGATTTTTTAAGCTTTTACTATATACAAAGAAGGAAAATCAATGATCCCCGTGGCGGGCCAATTTTGACCCCAGGGCATTTTTATGAACAAACTTGGTAGACACTGACTAGATGATGTTTCATGCCAAATATTTAAGCCTTAGCTCTTTCGGTTTTCTAAAAGAAGATATTTTAAGTTTTTTCTTTTGGTTGCCATGGCAACCTGAGTTCTGTTTGAAGATTTTTCTATTTTAAGCTCCTGTGACCAAGTTTTTCATTCGAGATGACCCATGTTCGAACTAATGCAAGCAATTACCTAGACAAGCATCCTGACTAAGTTTGATGACAATTTAATAAAAAATGTGACCACTAGAGTGTTAACAAGATTTTTCTATTTTTAGCTCCTTTGACCTACCTTTTCAACCGGGATGACCCATGTTCGAACTCATCCGAGCAATTACCTAGACAAGCATCCAGACCAAGATTGATGATAATTGAGTCAAAAATGTGACCACTAGAGTGTTAACATGGTTTTTCCATATTTGGGGGGGTGTGACCTAGTTTTCAACCTCAGGTGACCCATATTTCAACTTGACCTAGAAATCGTCAGACCAATTTCCAGGATATTTGGATCAAAACAGTAGCCACTTCAGCGTTAACAAGATTTTTCTATTTTTAGCTCCGGTGACCTAGTTTTTCATCCTAGATGACCCATGCTTGAACACATCCGAGCATTTACCTAGACAAGCATCCTGCCTAGTTTGATGATAAATGAGTCAAAAATGTGAGCACTAGAGTATTAACAAGGTTTTTCTATTTTTACCTCCGTTGACCTAGTTTCCATCAGAGATGACCCATGTTGGAATTTATCCAAGCAATTACCTAGACAAGCATCCTGACCAAGTTTGATGATGATCAAGTCAAAAATGTGACCACTAGAGTGTTAACAAGGTTTTTCTATATTTAGCTCCTGTGACCTAGTTTTTCATTTGAGATGACCCATGTTTGAACTCATCCAAGCATTTACCTAGGTAAGCATCTTGATAAAGTTTGATGATGATTGAGTCAAAAATGTGACCGCTAAAGTGTTAACAAGGTTTTTCTATTTTTTGCTCTTGTGACCTAGATTTTCATCCGTGATGACCCATGTTCAAACTCATCCAAGCTTTTACCTAGATAAGCATCCTGACCAAGTTTGATGCTGATTGAGGCAAAAATGTGACCACTAGAGTGTTAACGAACTAAATGTGGACGGACGACGGACAATCATCGGTGCTCAGGTGAGCTAAAAAGTATTATTTTAAATAGCTACTATCAGTCTTACTCATTATGCCCCCACTTCAAAGAAGAGGGGGTATACTGCTTTGCATTTGTCTGTCTGTCTGTCGGTCCGTACCAAATGGTTTCCGAGTGATAACTAAAGAACCCTTAGGGCTAGGAACTTCAAACTTGGTATGGTGATTGGTCATGACCAGCAGATGACCCCTATTGATTTTTGGGGTCAAGGGGTCAAAGGTCAAGGTCACATTGACATTGTAGGTAAAAACGGTTTCTGATCAATAACTTAAGAACGCTTAGGCCTAGAAACTTCAAACTTGGTATGATGATTGGTCATGACCAGCAGATGACCCCCTATTGATTTTGGGGTCAAGGGGTCAAGGTCACATTGACCTTGTAGTAAAAACGGTTTCCAATCAATAACTAACTATTGATTTCGGGGTCAAGGGGTCAAAGGTCAAGAAGTTGTGCATAATAAGCTGATCACATGACTAATTGGCTGCTGATAGGGGGCATACATGTGTACAAACATATTTTGTTTTTTAAAATTTACAACAGGGTATTATCTGAAGATGGAATAATTTTTAAACCTGGAATGCACTTAAATAACTGCTGCAGGGGTTTAGTTGATCTAAGGGGGTTAGTTGATGCCAAACATAAGAAAATGAGGGTTAGTTGAACTAAGGGGGGTTAGTTGATGCGGCGCATCAACTAACCCTGAATCTGATCTAAGGGTTAGTTGATGCGGCGCATCAACTAACCCTGTATGTGATCTAAGGGGTTAGTTGATGCACCGCATCAACTAACCCTGAATCTGATCAAAGGGGGTTAGTTGATGCGGCGCATCAACTTACCCTATATGTGATCTAAGGAAGTTAGTTGATGCGCCGCAACAACTAACCCCATTAGATCACATATAGGGATAGTGCTTTATAAACATAGCACTGAGAACTTTGACTGACTTCTGAAGAGTATTTTTTTCACATACAGACATAATTTTTTTGCTTTATTTGATCCTGGAGACAATGAACGTCTAGTTCAATTAAAAAGATTGACAAAACAATAAAAGTTAGCTTTCTATATATTTATTTACACATAAATTTACTTTAACATTTTAGTTTTTCAATAATCAAATTCATTTTTTTTAACCAATTGTAAATAGAACAGGGTCATAATTATAACCCACATTCGCTCACCTTTTAGCAAACTATAACTTTACTTAACTAGAAAATGTCACACACTAAATATAAAAGCACAAGGCCTTGTCTTGGAGAAGAATTTTATAGGTTTTACAAGTATATGAAAAGTAGACAGAAGAGCCATGGTTAGGAAAAACTTGGTAGTTGTCCACTAAACATGCTACGCTCAAAATATATAATTTCTAAGCATTGGGGGACTTCCTATATATATATGTCATAATGTGGGTACAGGTTTTCAGGTATTTGCCTTAAGTTCAGGTTATTTAATACTCCTTAAAGTAAACTTTCTAAAGAAAACCTATAAATATTATAGTAAATTCAGGTATTCTTGCACCCATGTATATAAGACTTTGTAAAACTTACTTGTCCAGGTTCAGGGTCAATTTTGACCTGTGGGGTATGAATTAAATAATCACAGTTATGGTTCAATATACATTGCTATATACAAAAATTGATAGTTTGATGAAATGTGGCCTATTGGTTATTAAGAAGATTTACCATAAAACAATTTGGTTGGTTAGACAAGTCAATGATAATAAAAGCTGACCATTAGCACCATCTTTTATATGTTATACATGCCTTTAGTGGACAAGACCACAGTGACTCTGAGTGACTGACCTTTTACTAACTGACCCTAAGAGCATGCAGTAACTCAAAAACCATAGAGTACCGGTTTTTTGTGCACTGCACTTCATCTCAATGAGACCTATCATCCTATGAAGTTTCATGCCCAAAGCTTTTATAGGTTAGGAGAAATGGCCAAGATAAAAATAAAGTATGAAAATTAAAAAAGGGCAAAAACTAAAAAAATAAGGAGTGCAGAGTATCGGTTCTTGTGCACTGCACTTCTTCTTAATGAAATCTATCATTCTATGAAGTTTCAAGTAAATAGCTTTCATTGTTTAGGAAAAATGGCCCGTATGAAAAGTAACAAAGGGCAATAACTCAAAATATAAGAAAAACAGAGTGCCAGTTCTTGTGCACTGCACTTCTTAATGAGATCTATCATCCTATGAAGTTTCAAGCCCATAGCTTTTATAAATCATGAGAAATGGCCCGGACAAAAATAAAGTATGAAAATCAACAAAGGGCAATAATTCAAAAAATAAGAAATGCAGAGTACCATTTCTTGTGCACTGCACTTCTTCTTAATGAGATCTATCATCCTATGAAGTTTCAAGTCCATAGCTTTTATAGTTGAAGAGAAATGGCCCAGACAAAATTGATAAATATGAAAATTAACAAAGGGCAATACTCAAAAATTAAGAAGTGCAGAGTACCGGTCCTTGTGCACTGCACTTCTGGTTATTAAAAGAAGCATGCATACAAAGTCAATCAGACTTATTGTGACTGAGTTATGCTCCGGACAAGCTTTAGGGGCCGCCGACAACGATGCCATCGACAAAAGTAACCCCTATATATCACCTTTTCAAGGCGCTACAAAAAAATAATTGTAAATTTGTTTTAACAACTTTAGTAGAGCTCCTTTAAATGATGCAACAAACCAAACATTAAAACTCTTGGCCAGAAAATATTTCAATACATGCATTTTAAAACCTCTTTGTTGTTTGGTTTCTTATAATGACCCACATACGCAACCAACTGGAAACATTTGAACAGCTTTGGTAAGAGACCACCTATGGAATTTTCCTGTGAAGATTGGTCCAAATACTGGTCCAAATACAGTCATGTTTTCAGAAAAAATTTTTTTAGTAACTGGTTATAATGCATGACAGACAAAAAGCCATCACAAAAGCTCAGCATGAGCACATTGTGCTGAGGTGAGCTAAGAAACAAAGTTTACATTGTTACAAAAATAAATTGAAAAATCTTGCCAGACTGAACTAAACAAGGAACATCGCAATGCGATGCAACCAGGTTTTCAGCAAAATATTTCACAGAAGCTTTGTCATGAAGGGGCATTTGTTTTTAATTGAACTTTTAGGAGGAATTATGGCTTTTTTAATATTCCTCAAACAAAAATGATTGAGAAATTTTATGTTGTCTATTTGCCTTTTTTTCCCAAATGTTTTAGAAAGGTAAACAGTACTTTATTTTTGCTTAATTTTTGCATTTTTGCGTCTCTTGTCATTTTCTTTTGTCAACAATATTGGCATGTGGTGTTTTGTGCGATATCAAGAAAAGTATGTTCACAATTTTAAAAAAATACTTGAATGATGTCTTGGAAGAAACATGGGAATTTAGTGAGCGCCAGGGCACTTGATGACAAAGCTTCTGTGAAAGTTTGGTCAAAATCCATTGAGAAATGTAGGAGAAGTTGCGCACTGTAGAAATTGTTCACTATATATTCTGTATAAGGAAAAAATATACAAAGGGCCTTAATTCGGTCAAATATTATCCAATCACAAAACCCCGACAATATGTGCCAGGCACTTGAAAACAAAGCTTCTAAGAAAGTTTGGTCAAAATCCGTTGAGAAATGTAGGAGGAGTTGAGCACAGAAGAAATTGTTCTCTATATATTCTGTATAAGGAAAAAATATACAAAGGGCAATAATTCGGTCAAATATTATCCAATCACAAAACCCCGACAATATGTGCCAGGCACTTGATAACAAAGCTTCTAAGAAAGTTTGGTCAAAATCCGTTGAGAAATGTAGGAGGAGTTGCGCACAGAAGAAATTGTTCACTATATATTCTATATAAGGAAAAAAAACAAAGGGCCATAATTAGGTCAAATATATACCAATTGCAAAACCCTGGCAATATGTGTCAGGGCACTTGATGACAAAGCTTCTGAGAAAGTTTGGTCAAAATCCGTTGAGAAATGTAGGAGGAGTTGAGCACAGAAGAAATTGTTCTCTATATATTCTGTATAAGGAAAAAATATACAAAGGGCCATAATTCGGTCAAATATTATCCAATCACAAAACCCCGACAATATGTGCCAGGCACTTGAAAACAAAGCTTCTAAGAAAGTTTGGTCAAAATCCGTTGAGAAATGTAGGAGGAGTTGAGCACAGAAGAAATTGTTCTCTATATATTCTGTATAAGGAAAAAATATACAAAGGGCCATAATTCGGTCAAATATTATCCAATCACAAAACCCCGACAATATGTGCCAGGCACTTGATAACAAAGCTTCTAAGAAAGTTTGGTCAAAATCCGTTGAGAAATGTAGGAGGAGTTGCGCACAGAAGAAATTGTTCACTATATATTCTATATAAGGAAAAAAACAAAGGGCCATAATTAGGTCAAATATATACCAATTGCAAAACCCTGGCAATATGTGTCAGGGCACTTGATGACAAAGCTTCTGAGAAAGTTTTGGTCAAAATCCGTTGAGAAATGTAGGAGGAGTTGCGCACAGAAGAAATTGTTCACTATATATTTTATATAAGGAAAAAAAAACAAAGGGCCATAATTAGGTCAAATATTATCTAATCGCAAAACCCTGACAATATGCGCCAGGGCACTTGATGACAAAGCTTCTGTGAAAGTTTGGTCAAAATCCGTTGAGAAATGTAGGAGGAGTTGCGCACAGAAGAAATTGTTCACTATATATTCTATATAAGGAAAAAAAACAAAGGGCCATAATTAGGTCAAATATATACCAATTGCAAAACCCTGGCAATATGTGTCAGGGCACTTGATGACAAAGCTTCTGAGAAAGTTTGGTCAAAATCCGTTGAGAAATGTAGGAGGAGTTGCGCACAGAAGAAATTGTTCACTATATATTTTATATAAGGAAAAAAAACAAAAGGCCATAATTAGGTCAAATATTATCTAATCGCAGAACCCCGACAATATGCGCCAGGGCACTTGATGACAAAGCTTCTGTGAAAGTTTGGTCAAAATCCGTTGAGAAATGTAGGAGGAGTTGCGCACAGAAGAAATTGTTTACGCCCGCCCGCCCGCCCATCCGCCCGCCGACATACCTCAATCTAATAACCAGTTTTTTCCTTCGGAAAACCTGGTTAAAAACACATTAAACAAAGAGTTCATCTCCTGGTACAATGTATTCGGTTTCTGCTGTGTTCCTTTATTGCATTTGACATTATAAAAGTCCTAAATTCTCAACAATATTACCTATCTTTTCTATGACAACAAATTTATAATACTGCTACACTAAAGGCCTTACTCAGTCAAAATTCACATCAGAAAATAACAGTATTCTACCTTTCCTGGAATAATTCAGGTAATAAATTAAGACAGTGTGCAAAATGGCAATGAATGCTTCCAAACACTAAACTGAAGTATGTGAAGGAAAATGTAAAAATCTCTCTCTATTTTTCTTGCAATTGACCTCAACAACCCCAACTTAAGTTAGAGAACTACAGAAGAAATGTTCCTACCAAATATGAAATGCTTTTATGTCAATTAATAATGGTTGTTCAAGCAAGTGTAGAATATTCTTTGCACTGGTGACCTTTACCCTAGTAAAGGTCAAACTCGCACAGAGTTACTAAAAGGACCATAAAAAGTATCTACCTATCAAATATGAAAGATATTGGTCAATAAATAAAGTTAAAAGGAAAAACTATAGGACATAATTGTGACATAAGTGTGACATAATTAAAGAAGGACAAAGCGGCAACTATATGCTTTGCAAATGTTTTTCAGGAAGCATTAAAAGGTAGAATACTGCATAAGGAGATCTTCACTTTAAATTAATTTTAGGTAATTGCTTGTTGCTGCATTGTTTTTTCAATCACTATGAAACATTATCTACATTGTCCCAAAGGACATTTAATTCAATGAGATCTTGACTGTCAGAATTGTAAGAAGCTACACACTCTCAAGTAATTTATCTTAAGATATACGCAATTAACTTTTCCTTTTCAAAAGTCTTGCAATTTCTGACATCGGATTTGTAAAGTTCAATTTCATCCTCCTGGTACAAGTGACAAGTTATGGCTGATTTGTCAGGCACTGCACTACTTTATGTCCAATATGTGACAGTGTCAGGCTCTCTCATTGATATGAGGCACCAACAGTTCTTTTGGCAATGGCCACATGTTTTCCAGTATCTAAGGCGTAACTCACTCCATCCTGAAATCAGTAAAACCACAGTATTTAACATATTTTCATTACTTATCAATGATAATATTCATGTCAATAAATTTGTTTTTTGTTTGTTTGTTTTTTTAAATGAATTTGTATCCCCCACCAAAAAGAGGTCAACACTGTAACACTAGTCCAAAGTAAGTCATCTGTTTCTTACTCAAGTTAAAAAGTTTATTGCAGATTATTGTGCAATAAATTTGCATTAAAATTTCATGCTTAAGAAAGAAGTTATTTTTCCTTCTGTAGAAAGAGCAATAAAATCCGCCATGCTGGACCTTTTTTATTCATAGAAGGATATTGTAGTAAAGAATATTACAAGAAAAAAAACATAATTTTTAGCCCCACTTCTTTTTAGAAAACATAAATAAATAGAGGTATTGTTACAGTCATTTTGGCATTGCCATACGCAAACTTGTACTTTGATTATATCTTTTTAAGTTCTTGGTGTATTGTCTTCATACTTGGGACCAGACTAACCTTGACCTTCATTGACCTTGATATTCAAAGTCAAATATCTAAGTTTTGCTTGTTTTTTTTGCTATTAGTGGCTTTAACTTTGTTATTTGAGCCGTGTCATGACAAAACCAACATAATGGGTTTGCGACCAGCATGGATCCAGACCAGCCTGCGCATGCTGGTCGCAAACCCATTATGTTGGTTTGTCATGACACGGCTCATTTATGAATGGATTGTCTTTAAACTTGAGCATAATAAAGGATATACTAGCTATAAAGTTTACCCCCTTGAAGGTTGAATAATTGATTTTTTTACTACTTTTTACTTTAATTGACAGTAACTTGGTAATTAATAAATGGATCATCTTTATACTTAAGAAAACAACATTTTGAACAAGACCTTCTAAAAGGTTGAAGTAACCTTGATGACCTTGACTGTCAAATTATTTATGTACAGATTTGATTTAAACATGGACATGACAAGACTTACAACCTAACAAACACATTGAGTAATTTAGATGTGACCATGTACTTAAATTAACCTGTCAATGTTAAACCTGCTCGCCTCTAAGATGAGCCAAAATATTTCACGAATATTTCACGAAAATCAATATTAAGAAAAATGTAAAAACATTCAAGATCCAAGTTATAGTTTACATGTTATGTGTTATGTGTGGTTTAAGACTGATTTTGCAGTATTTTATCACCATTTTTCTACTTTTTGCACTTTTTCTAATTTTCTTGGATTGTAAGTGCTGATTGCAATATGTAAATTACTATTTTTGTTCACCTCACAATATTTTACTTTCAAAATTTTCATGAAAATTAACATGAATCTGGATGCATGTTGCTTTAAATTAATGAAATTATATAACTAGCTATAAGCCTATAACTTTGTTATTTATAAATGAATTCATATTAAGACATAACATATCTTAGATCAGGACCTTCATGTATATCAAACTCAAATTGACCTTTACTCATGTTTGACCTTGACCTTGAAGGTAAATAATTTTATTTTCTCTGATATCGCTATAATTGGCTGTTATTCTGTAATTAATCAATGGATTTTTTTTCATACTTTAAAAAAACAAAACCTTTTGAACATGACATTCTTAAAGGTTGAACTGACCTTGACCTTTAAATGACCCTGACGATCAAATTATTGAATTCTTTACTTTGTCATTTATTTATGGAAAAGATTCATACTTGGACAAAACAAGTGTGACTAGACAAAAAAAGAGAAAAATACATTATTTTTCTTCTTTTATTTTCTTTTTATTCAACCGTTGATTTGTTTGCTTTTAGCATTGCCCCTGCCCCCGCCCAGCAGCGGCTCTTATCTTGTACAAAACATAAGTTTCATATCTGACCTTGTCTGACTAATTTTTTTAACCCCAGGCAAACCATATTTTAACTTGACCTAGAAATCAACATTAAAAATTTTTTTTGGTATGGAAGTCACACATGACACATGGTCTGATTATAATAAACATTAAATTTTTTGGATGGCAATATCAACGACAACATGACTCTATCAGTAGATCTTTTTTTGTCCGAAAAAGTCAAGCTTATTATAGCCGAATACTGAAGTTTCTTGACATCACTCTCCTGACGTCTTGTGAGGGCAAGGCATGCAAAAAGATTGTGAGATCATATAATTTATGCAAACTCATAAAACAAGACTTTAATAATGCTAGAATAAATAAATACTGTTGAACAATTTGTTCCAGCACAACACATCAGTCTGTGCGAAAGTCCGTCGGTCCTCGGTCCTGGCTGAATAAAAATCATGCGGTCCGAGAAAAATTCCTTTCCGTCAGTCCTCATGTCCGAATAAAATTTTTTAAAAGTCAAAAATATCAATGACATGATTGATAAAAAGTACCCGGTGATGCAAAGAATTTATTAAAGAAGATATTGACCAACCTTAGATCTATTTTGTACCTGTCAAATAAATACCAGTCAGCTCTGTCTTCAAAAAGTTTCATCAACAACGGTAAATTTTGCCGTAAATTACAGATTTGAAAATTTTGTGTTATGATGCCTATTGAAATAGCTGATGAGTAACAATCTTTAAAATAATCAAAAAATATTTAATCTAATATAATCAAAATCAACAACAAGTAGAATTGTGAATGTTTCTGCAGGAAACAGACAAATTTTCAATTGTCACAATATTTTTCGCGATGCCGCTTTTTATCATTAAAAATCGTAACTAAAAGGAAACTTTGTTTTGGTTAAAATGTGTGTAATAACACTTAAATGTAGTTTAAGAATTAAAATTACTAAATATATTGTTCACATTAGTTGAGATGGAGGTATTTACCAGTATATGTGTTTGTCACATACAATGAATATTTCTGATGGGAGGGGGGTGTGTGGAGTGAATCTGGAAGAAAACAGCAATAATGGTCTGATGATGTAGGGTTTTTGAAATTATATTTCAAATCTTTTCAAATCACTTTTATGGTTCAATGTATTCCATTTGGGACATACTACCATTTTCCCTGAATAAAAAGCTTTTTCTGTGCTTGGGAGTCCAAGGACTCCTCTTTTTAAAAACCTAGTGAGAACCCTGCTTAAGTTATTTCAATTGGTCAGCATCTTCTTATGTTTCTATATTGATAGTCTCACTAATTTAAAGAAAGACAATCATTTTTACATTCAACCGAGTTATTATAAAATAATGCTTGAAATGTCTGGGCCGGAAAAATATCATCCGGGCCGGAAATAAACCTAAGGGTCTCGGTCCTTGTGGCCTGAAAAAAAAATTGACTTTCGCATAGACTGCACATTCAACTATTTTTCCAGGAGTTGATTGGCTATAGTTAAAAGTAAGTTGTGTTTAAGTCATCAAAGTCATATAAAGACATTTTAAAACATAATCTGTATTAGAAATAAAAGTGGTAATACATGGTGAAAAAAATAACTATGAAAGATTACCTGAAAATTTCCAGAATATTTAGATCAAAACTGCAGCCACTAGAGTGTTTACAAGCTTTTTCTTCTTTTAGCTCCTGTGACCTAGTTTTTGACTCGAGATAACCCATCCTCGACTCGATCTGTATTTCATTGAGACAAACATTCTGACAATGATTCAATCAAAACTGTGACTGCTAGACTGTTAACAACCCAATTGTTGACGACAAACGACGCACAACGACGGACATAGCCCCATCACTATACATCACCTTGTCAGGTGAGCTAAAAATAACTTAAATATAAAAGGCCAATTAGCACGAAGAAAAAGCAACGGCCGCCGTGGTGTAGTGGTTAGCATACTGGACCAGCAATCTAGAGACCCGTGGTTCGAGTCCCGGCTGCGGCGTGTCGATTTTTCTTGCGATTTTTCTATGTATAATTTCTCGCTCATGACTTTCTTTCTTTCATATATATTCGTTCTTGGGCGGGAATGGTCTTATAAAACAATAAATATGTTTGCCATAAGATATTTGTTATAAGAAAATTAATAGTGACTGAGTCAGCCAACTGCGGTAAAAGAAGCTATAAATAGCTCGCCGCTATGGTTATAAAAGTGTTGACGTCACAATAAAGATAAAAATAACTTAAATATATATGGCTAATTAGCACGAAGAAAAAGCAACGGCCGCTGTGGTGTAGTGGTTAGCATACTGGACCGGCAATCCAGAGACCCGTGGTTCGAGTCCTGGCTGCGGCGTGCCGATTTTTCATGCGATTTTTCTATGTATAAATTCTCGCTCATGACTTTCTTTCATATATATTCATTCTTGGGCGGGAATAGTCTTATAAAACAATAAATGTGTTTGCCATAAGATATTTGTAATAAGAAAATTAATAGTGACCGAGTCAGCCAACTGCGGTAAAAGAAGCTATAAATAGCTCGCCGCTACCGTAATAAAAGTGATGACCTCACAATAAAGATAAAAATAACTTAAATATATTAGGCCAATTAGCACGAAGAAAAAGCAACGGCCGCTGTGGTGTAGTGGTTAGCATACTGGACCGGCAATCCAGAGACCCGTGGTTCGAGTCCTGGCTGCGGCGTGCCGATTTTCCGTATAATTTCTCGATCATGACTTTCTTTCTTTCATATATATATATATATATATATATATAATTAAAATGATCAATTATTGGATGGTACCTATTATTATTTTTGCTTTTGATAAATTGATATATGTAGAAATGAGAAATGATTTACATATCAGCCATAACCTCTGATAGCTGATGACATACTTAAGACAATATATTGAAAATATAATTGGTAACATATTTTTTATAATAATACTTGAATTATAATTGATCCTTCAATTACAGTCAAATGTTTACAATGTTTATGTGATACCAATCAAAGTTCAAGGGACATAAAAAAACTAGAACTATCACTAAATGTGATTAATACCCCCTGCAAGACTGCTTCGGAAATAAGGAAGTCACTAGTAACAGAATACCTTGAATTTAAACATTGGAAATTGGGAATTTTAATGTCTATTTTCTATTGGGAACAGTACCTTTTTAGGGTAGTAGTTATATAAAGAAAAAAACACTGTTATGTATTTAAATGTACTAAAGATTCATACATTCAGTGGTTTTAGACTAGAATAATTCACAGAACTTTAGCAACAAACTCACTGCTGTTTAAAATGAAAATTGTTGATAATAAAATGTGTACTTTCTGTAACTGTCAAGAAGAAACACTTATACATTTATTTTGGGAATGTCAAAAAATTCAGTCTCTATTTCAATATTTGCAAAGTAACATACATAATTTTGACAATATTTTCAACTGTAAATCTTTCATTTTAGGTTCTGAAGATAAGGATTTCAAATATGATATATTGTTTTTAGAATTGAAAAAATACATATATTTGTCTAAGAGAAAAAAATTATTACCCATATGTAATGGCTTTAAAAATACCCTTAAATTAGCCTGGACTATTTACAAAAATACCAATTTGACCGACACTGAAATTAAAAGATGGCAAATTGTAAGATAGTTAATCAAATAAATTATACTGACATTCTATATTTATGTGAGGTTCTCTTTTGTTTTTGTCTTTAAATAACTTACATACATGTGTAAAATAGACTATTAAATATTGTATTCTTTAATTATAATGTTAATATGATAAAATTTAAGGTCAGGGCTTTTTTTTCAATTTTGGGGAAACGGCCTGGCCTTTCAGTTGGGGAAAAAATGCACGAAAAAATGACATTTTGGGGAAAATCTATTACATTGAAAAAATGAGTTCATAACTTTAAAATAAACAATAACAAGCAATTATCAAGCAATTATCATAGTATTGCAAGCAATCCAGAAGTCCCCTACCGGTTAGAACCATAAGCCTAAAATCAATAGGGGTCTTCTACCCAATATGGACAATCATCCTATGAAGTTTGAACACTGTGGGCCAAATGGAACTTAAGTTATGCTTCCGAAACCAAATTGCTAACAGACAGACAGACGGACGGACGGACGGACGGGCGGACGGACGGACAGACGCCTGGGGGTATAACATAATATGCCCGAAATTCTTTCGGGCATATAAAAAAAGAGGAAAATTAAATGCGAGGGGTCATGGGGGCCGTGCAGGCCCCCCATGCAGGTCCAGGGCAGAGCCCTGATGGGGGTACCAGGGGGCGAAGCCCCCGGAAGCTCCTGGGTTTTCATCCTTTTCCGATGGTCTAAAATGCATTTCCTTTTAGTGATTTATCAAATATTTTCATTAACTGATTTTGTATTACTTTGACTGGCAGTAACAAAGTTAAGGCAGACTTTAATTTCAATGAAATTAATCAGTATCTATAACTGTACATGTTTTGTTACAGTCTTTGATCTTCGAAGCGTTGTTGGAGTTAATTGCTGCCATTATTCATGTAAAAAATATCCTTCTTGCTAATCGGCCGACATTTTGTTTTGCTATCTTCAACTACAGAAAGACGCTACGATTGGTAGGTATATTTAACGCTATCGTTATTATTGGCTTACTTTAATAGCGACAATAACTGAACATACCCGAAAAGCGGTACGGTCTAAATATTTACGGTTAGGGCTGTGCATCGCCATTTTTTTCTGTCACGATACATATTACGATACTTGCATTTCCAAACGATGCGATTCACGATATGTATTGCATACTTTGATAAAATGCGATGCATATTGCGATTTTTATGTTTCGATGCAATACGTATCACAATACAGACTTTCAGACTTTATCTATATAAAAAACCTGGTCATTTGTTCACAGCATAATAACGAATGTAATATAAAACTTTTACAATAACAAAACAATAAAATCTACAACTTGTTATTATAACTTATTTTCAAGTTTTGATCTTTCAACAATTTACATTACTTATTACTTAAGGATTTTTACTTTTTACTTAAGGATTAAAGGTATTTTTCATTATACCATAACTATTAGTGTATTGCGATACTTTCCCGCTATATCGATGAATCGGGTGGTGAAATATGTATTGCATCCTGATATAATGGAATTTATAAATTAATTACGATGCATACATCGAGGACAGGGCAGATCGCGATGTATCGATGCATCGACGAATCGTTACACCTCTATTTACGGTACGGTCTAAACATTTACAATCAGCGGACAATAGACGGTAGCAAACTCGGCGAAAGAGACCCCTACCCTCCAAATTTTCACCTCAGATTTACATTGTTCTCAAGAGTGGTTCGAGGACCTCGAAATCCGCGGATTTCCGCGGACAATTGGCATCCCTGGGTTACCCAGTTAGGGCCTCAAAAAAAAAAAAAAAAAAAAAAAAAGTTTTATGACTCTAGGTCAAATCCTTTTTGACTTACATGTGACACAAGTTGAAAATTGCAAATTTTTACTAAGTCAAGGGCAATAACTCTAAAAATACTAAATAAATCCACTTGAAATTACCAAGGTACACATCTACACATGCTGATCAACATTCCTGTAAAGTTTCATGACTCTATGTCTAATCCCTTTTGAGTTACATGCGACACAAGTTGAAAATTGCAAATTTTTACTAAGTCAAGGGCAATAACTCTAAAAATACTGAAAAAATCCACACGAAAAACCCACTTGCACAACTGCATATGCTGATCAACATTCCTGTTATGAGAAAGTGTTCGCGGTATCAGAATTCTGAGGATGCGCGCATGGTATGACCCCCTTGTCTAAGTGTATATTTAGTGTTTAACAGTAAAGAGGGAATGGGGCTGAATTTTGGTAAAGGCCTTAATGAAGCAATGATTATATATAAATACAAAATGTCTGCCTGATCCTTTACCTGTTCTGGTTGATTGCTGGACTTGTCACCTTTGTTATGCATAGGGCATTCTGCAGGAAACGCATTTATATCCTTTTTTACCTCTGCAGAATCAGAAGTTGATGTTGAACTTGCTCCTCCCATTTTCTACAGAAGACAAATGAAAAAATAACACATATAAATTTTATCAGTTCCCATGTTCCCATACCTTCCCCATTGTCAGGCAAAGAACAAGGAGATTGATGACATTATTAAACTAGAACTATCACTAAATGTGATTAATACCCCCACAAGACTGCTTCGGAAATGAGGATGTTACTAGTAACAGAATACCTTGTAAAAGAATTGAAATATAGAGTTATGGTTGTGGGCAATTAAAGATAGTTGTGGTTCTTATATGTTGCATTTCCTTTCAATGTGGTTGGCCATTGATGAAGTTTAATTGAATTACTCTGTAATAAGTCCAGAAAGACAAAAAAAAAGGAACAAAGGGCAATAACTCTTGTTATAGTTCTTGTGCACTGCACTTCCTCTTATTGTGCTTGACCATTGTATGAAGTTGTTTTGAATTCCAACCAGTACGTTTTAAGTTATGCTCCTGACAAGGAAAAGTATCAAAGGGCAGTAACTCTGTATTTTGTCAAAATAGAGTTATGGCTCTTGTGCACTGCACTTCCTTTTAATGTCCTTGAAAACTGTATGAAGTTGTATTGAATTCCAACCAGTAGTTTTCAAGTTATGCTCTGGACAAGGAAAAGTAACAAAGGGCAATTACTCTGTAATTAGTCAAGAAGGAGTTATGGTTCTCTCAATGTGCTTGACCATTGTATGAAGTTATATTGAATTCCAACCATTAGTCTTCAAGTTATGGTCCGGACAAAAAAGGCAATGGAAAAGCAACAAAGGGCAATAACTCTGTAATTACTTTAGATAGAGTTATGGTTCTTAAGCACTGCACTTCCAATTATTGTGTTTGACAATTGTATGAAGTTGTTTTGAATTCCAACCAGTAGTTTTCAAGTTATGCCCCGGACAAGGAAAAGTAACAAAGGGCAATAACTCTGTAATTAGTCAAGATAGAGTTATGGTTCTTACGCACTGCACTTCCTCTCAATGTGCTTGACCATTGTATGTAGTTATATTGAATTCAAACTATTAGTCTTCAAGTTATGGTCCGGACAAAAAAAAGCAATGGAAAAGCAACAAAGGGCAATAACTCTGTAATTACTTTAGAAAGAGTTATGGTTCTTGTGCACTGCACTTCCCCTTATTGTGTTTGACATATGAAGTTGTTTTGAATTCCAACCAGTAGTTTTCAAGTTATGCCCCGGACAAGGAAAAGTAACAAAGGGCAATAACTCTGTAATTAGTCAAGATAGAGTTATGGTTCTTGTGCACTGCACTTGCACTTTTTCTCAATGAGCTTGACCATTGTATGTAGATATATTGAATTCAAACTATTAGTCTTCAAGTTATGGTCCGGACAAAAAAAAAAGCAATGGAAAAGCAACAAAGGGCAATAACTCTGTAATTACTTTAGATAGAGTTATGGTTCTTGTGCACTGCACTTCCCCTTATTGTGTTTGACAATTGTATGAAGTTGTTTTGAATTCCAACCATTAGTTTTCAAGTTATGCCCCGGACAAGGAAAAGTAACAAAGGGCAATAACTCTGTAATTAGTCAAGATA